CAGTGATGCTACGCTAGCAAAACGCAAGCACTCCAATAAGTATATTCTAGGCACTATAACTCTAGTCAGATGCCAAGCGCGACCAACGTCCGTCGGTATTGTTCACTCCCGGTCGTTTCGCTAGCTTCACATAGCCAAGTTTTGTATTACGGGACGTGAATAGATGACGATGGTATGTGACTAGGAAAAGCATGATTACCATTAGAAGTGGGTCATGTAACAACATGACTACACGCTACGCTCATAATGCGTCTGCAGCCGTTTCGCCAGCTTTAAATGTCCCAAATTCAATATAGCGCGACGCGAACGGACGGCTTAAGTAAATAGCACGTACAAACATGATAATCGTGACATGCGTGTCATGTAACAACATGACTACATACCACACTCCTCATGATGCGCTCGTGGCCAATCCGCTAGCATAAAATATGCTAAATTTAGTATTACGTCACGTGGATTGATTACGAAGGTGTGTGACAGTGCAAACATAATAATCATGAGATGCATGTCATGTTAGAACATGACTGCATGCCACACTTCGAAGGCGCCAAAACACTCCAACATGACGAGGCATACGTGCTCGCCGGTGTTCATTTTGTCGTGTCACGCTAGCGATGCCACACCAGGCGCCGACCTAAGTTGCTTTGACGCATGCGCGTTTGAGCGTGCCCTGCGTCCTTCCATCATGAATAGATGAAGGACGCTGTCGTAGGCGCGAAATGCAGCATGTCGCAATTCGCGCCCGTTGCCGACGGGCAGCGCTGTTGAACGATGATCACGCCGGTCGCGCCGGTCGTGCCTGGTATTTTGCTAGCGTAGCATCGCTGCGCCCAGAGTGCGCGCGCGTCTACAATACATCGGGGCATATTGGCCCTGCGGAGTATAAAGACCCTTCAACGTTGGTATCACGGGACGCCAACGGACGATAAAAGTATATGACACGTCCAAACATGATAATCATGGCACGCGTGTCATGTAAGAACATGACTACATACTACGCTCAGGATGAGCTCGCCGCCGTTTCGTTTGCTACACATATACCAAATTTGTTATCCCGTGACGTGAATAGATTACGAAGATAAATGACACGCCTAAACATGATAATCATCACTTGGAAGTTGTGCGCAGCATAGTTTACCTCCACCTCGTAACATTTTGCTGATTTTAAAGTGACATATCAATCTCCTCCGTTTGTGCTTCACATATTATCAATTCCCACTGAGCGTGGGAATCTGCGAATTTTTTTTCAGCAGGAGAAATACTACCACGTGCTGATTTTGTAAGCTGCATGCTTCTTCCATAAATCTTCAGTTGCGTGTGTGCATCTGCGTTGTTCGTCTCTTCTGTAGTTTCTTCTATGTATTGCGCCCCATGCACTTTACTCCTTCATAATTCTTCAAAAGATGGGACGATGTACACTAAGGGTCTCAAACTGACCACATCCTGCGTGCCGCAGTGTCTACATGCAATCCCACTAGGGCTGCAACAGGAAGCGCCTAAAAAGATGTCAGCTAACGTTCTCATTTGTTAGAAGGAATTTAACATGTCTCATATATGGTTCAGTTCTAGAAGACACATGCAGTGAGGAATGAAAAAAAAAACATCCGTACCATGGTGCAGAATGACTGAAATCTGGACGCCGTTTGTGAGAGGTAGATTTTAGTTTTGTGATTATGTTCCAACGTATGGTGAAAGCAAGGGATGCTTCGCGAAACAAGCGTGTTATTGTTATTCAGAAGATGAAGAACCTATATGAAGAGTACACTCATGTGCCGACCGGAGCCTTTCACACCCCTAGTATGAACTATAAATCGATTACTTGTGGTGAATATCCGCGTACGACGAGCAGCAGTGGGCGAGCAATTACCACACGTCACTCCTGGGTTGGGTTTCATGACGCACGTTACATTTAATTCAAGTAATTGTGGTTATTTTGCACTCCCGTCGACAGCTATGACAATTTAGATACATACGAATTAAGGAGACGTGTTTTAAGCACAGAGTACATAGATAGATAGATAGATAGATAGATAGATAGATAGATAGATAGATAGATAGATAGATAGATAGATAGATAGACAGATAGATAGATAGATAGATAGATAGATAGATAGATAGATAGATAGATAGATAGATAGATAGATAGATAGATAGATAGATAGATAGATAGATAGATAGATAGATAGATAGATAGATAGATAGATAGATAGATAGATAGATAGTGTGTTTCTCGACATCCCTTTAACTTCGCTACATCCAAATACATGTTGCGATTCCTTTAACTGGATATACTATCTTCCTTGCAATATACAGTTCTCTGTCTGTGTTTTGAGAAAAGAATGGAATAGAGAGTTACCTTTCGCAGTTGATCCGTGAAAATGACTTGGCCGCTAGGCATACTACCACACAGCAGAGATGTCATGCCAGTACAGACTCAATGAGGTAACAAATAATGGATCTAACTATCGTAGTGCATCACCTTGTCTCTGATCTGAAATTGCTCAATCGGTATCTGAAGTAGACACTAAGACGTTCGAAGGGACCGTAAATTATTTATTGTATGTGGAAAGAATGAACTGGTACTTAAAGTGTGGTCTTATTAGTGATATAATTTCTCTCAGAGGACTGCGTTACAGTATGCGAGAGCTGAATTCTGGCCAATTCATTTATCATATTGTTTACAATGTACATCATTGATTATAGTCTTATACACAGAGCACACGTCATTTATATGCTAGTTGTGGGCACATTTCCACAATGGAATAAAAATGTACATCTTTTTTTCTACTTCGGTATCGAATAAGGTTGTGTATGTTGAAATTTTTCATTCGTAAATTTTAGCGAATGGGGCTCGTACGCAAACTGCTGCTAAAATTCAACCAGCATCTGTGCGATGCGCCGTGGTTCGTAAAGTCGACGTCAATAGTTGGATAGCAAAATGGTGCTTCGTTTCTATGGTACTTCCCGTTCAAGGCATATCCCTTCCCCGCTTAAAGTTGCCTGCTGCACAGTGTAACAGAGGAGGAGACATGTGCGATTCTGCGACGCTTCGTGAATATATTCTTAGTTTTTATTTGCGCATCTATATATGATATTTTGCGCATTGCTGTGACTGAAGCGAGACGTGGAAATGGGCAAACGGAAAGAACGATAATAAGCGGGTTTCGAACGCAGCATGCGAATGTGCTTTGATTCATGCTCTAATATTTACAGAACCACCTCTTATTAATATTTTGAGCACAAACGGTAACCACTTCAAAATCACCCACACGTATATATGCACATGATGCTCAATGTCAACATACGTTCGATGACAACAGAAGTATGCGTACTCTGTCATTCTTGCGGAAACCACTCAGCGTCTAAAGCCCCACGGGACAAAACAGACGCTTTGTTACTGGCATCGTGGGACGTAAATTGATGGAAGTAGCTTTTGAAGCAACGAGCACTAAGGTATGGCGTCTTTATTGTGTCAGACTTGCACGTGTCAAGTGCCGATAGGCTTTATTATGTCGGATATATTTGAACATAACCTTCGAGTCCATGGTGAATTGAAATGTAACGTATAAAAATGGGCAGGCGTAAAAAAAATTGGCAGATCCCACGTACAATGGGAATCGATGATATGCGAAGCATGAATAAGAAATGTTGATATGTCACTTTAAAATCAACACAACGTTACGAGGTGGAGGTAAGTGATGCCGTACATGACTTCCGTTTCATGATCATTGTGTTTGGATGAGTCGTTTACCTTCGGCATCTATTCATGTCACGTGGTTTAAATTTGGTATAAGTGAAGCTAGCGAAACGGCCACCAGCACATCACGAGCGTGGCATCTAGTCATGTTGTTACATGACACGCATCTCATGATTATCATGTTTGCAGCAGTCGCATACCTTCATCATCTATTCACGTACTGTAATACAAAATTTGGTATATGTTACGCTAGCACAACGGCCGCGAGCGCATCATCAGTGTGGTATGTAGTCATCTTGTTTCATGATACGCATGTCATGATTTTCATGTAAGCGTGTGTCGCTTCTGTTCGCCATGCAATCATGCCATACCATACCAGTTGTGCAACATGCCATGTGAACAAAACCACCGCAAGAGCTGCAGTAATGAAATGTAAATCATGAGATTCATGACATACATGTCAGAATTTTCATGTTATGACTAGTCAAATATGTTCTTTATACAGTCATGTTATGTCACACCAAGTTTGGTAACGACAGCAAACGGCCAGGAGATGTTAGTCTTAGGTGGCTAGATAGATAGACAGATAGATAGATAGATAGATAGATAGATAGATAGATAGATAGACAGATAGATAGATAGATGGATGGATGGTTATATAGATAGATAGATAGATGCACTCAAATTTGCCGAAGTTCGTTAAGAAATGCTTCGCATTTAAACAAAGTCAGAAAGCTACGAGCGCATTCCATTTTCAGAGTAAGAAAAAGTTGACTATATTGAACACGGGAAGGTGTCTTCGTAACACAAAAGCAAATAAATATTTTACAGATAAGCAGCATACAAATCAAATGAATGGATATTTCCTGATGCTATGACGTCTAGAAACACCGTCCGCAGCAAAAGAACAAGCACGTGTCCGGAGGTGTTGCCGCTTGAATGACGAAATGACTGCTTGCACGATTATAACTATCCCGCAGTGACTGCATTTCTTATTAAACTAAACAGCATATCTGTCCAAAGCAGTATGCACCAATTTTTTAGAAAAGGGCACCACGAGTGCTGGGTGGAACACGCAGAAAGCAACGGCACTGGCTAGAATCTCCGTACGGCGGCACGGTATCTCAAAAAGGAAGCCGATGCAGACGGGCTCTGTAGCCCACAATCCTTTGCGTGAGGCGCAATTTTGCTGCCACCTGCTGATGGCCTCATCAGTTTTAGGTATTTACCAAATAATGAAACGTCTCAGTTTGATTCGGTTTATTTGAAGAGGACATTCATAAAAGGAATACTCGAAGTTTACCTGTGAAAAAGAACACGCCCACAAACAGGATTGCCGGGATCAATTGCCGCATGATGCTGAACCTCGATACCTGCAACTTTTTGGTGCTCTGAAAACCACGAGAATGAGTTCAAATGATCAATCAATCAATCAATCAATCAATCATTGAATCAAAAATCAATTAATCAATGATCTCTTTATTTCCTATCGTTTCGGTAATTGTAGTGTTACGATTCTCTATTTCTACTGTACAAGTATGCATTTCGTTGACTCTGTATAAGAACAATGCAATGGATGTATTATTGGAGTGTTACTTTGTATTTCTCTGACCATGCTCTCAGTGGTGCATTTGGGTGCTCGGGTACCATCAGACAGAGCACATCTGCCTCTTATCCATGTATCCGAGATATACATTTGCCTTAAAATGCTGATTGCCATCCGAAGATCTGCTGCAATCATTCTGTAAGCAGGGAACACTAGTGTGTTTTTCTCTAGCATGCAACTGGATAAAATAGGCGTTCAAGCTAATACAAGGTTAGAAGAGTTAGCATTATACTTACATATAAAGAAAGTTAACTTGATTCTTAGTAAAACAAAAGTTATTGTTTTTAAACACGTAACAAGCCAGATTATTCCGAACTCCAGCCTGCATTCAAAAACTGTGTAGTTGAATGTGCTTGTTCCTACAAGCTTTTAGGTGACTTTTTTGAATAACACTTAGATTGGTCACATCTCATTCATAAAATTCATGCCAACATATCATGGTCACTCACTGAACTTCCCAAACCTAGAGAACTCGTTCCAAAATCTTGAAAGTGGCAGCTATATTACACTCTAATTCATTCACACCATCACTAGTGTATAATAGTTTGGGGGTCTAACTCTGAAACTAATCATGTAAGGCTGATAAGACTGCAGTAGAAAGCAATAAGATACATTCAAAACCTCCCGTATAACTACCGCACAGGTTCGTACTTTTTAGAACACTATGTTCTAAAGGTGAACCAAATATATTATTTCCTTTACTTGTGTTTTAATGACATTAGGCTTAGTCCTTCTGGATATAGTAGAACTGCAATCTAGTCGCAAATATGCCTTACGAATTAAGATACGACCATTACAACACTCCCTTTGTCCGAACAACCTGTTGAATGAGAGCGCTAACATAAATCAAAATTCAAAACGTTGTCTCAGATTCTCATAAACCGCACATCCTTAGACGGTTTTCCGGTAATTATAAGCGGGATCTTTTGCAGGGCAAAAACATATATGAAGACCGGAATCAAATACCAATACCAAAATAAAGAACCTGACAACCCATTTCAATAAATCTTGACAAATATGCAACAGTCAGTTTTATTTGAATACTTCTATATTGTTTTATACAAATAAGAATAATTAAATATGTGCAGTGTAATGCCGTCATCTTATTTCGTGCATAGCACTCGTTATTAGAATTCCTGAAAAATTATTGGTTTGAAGGAATAGTGCCTACTTACAGGTGATAATTCAGTATGTGAGGTTTGACGTGTTCCCTGCAGGCGTAAATGACATTTGTCGGCAAGGACTTCATATTATATATCATACTGCAGCATGTGCCTTGTTGCAATGTGGCAGAAGTAAGATAAGCTGATAAGTGTAATCTATGACCTTAGTCAAGAACAAAGCTTAAGAGATATTGGATAACACAGCGAAACGTCAATGAGCAGCACAAGAGCTAATTATTTTGTGACCATGTTTTTGGTCCAGGCCTATAGCAACAGTTTCAAAATCATTCAGTGTACCAATTCTTAAAAGGAAACTGCAATATTGACGCGAATCGTAGGGTTTCGTTTTATAAGTGCAAAGCCGTTACAGCGTGAGCACCCCTACCCTTGTCGTTTCCACTGACAATCATCAATTGGGTGTGAGAAGGAAACGTAAATTCCTTCTGATGGGCGTTATCCACAAGGCTAGTAGGGCTGCTGTACTTTCTGAATTGTGCTTTTTTTTTCAGTGTCATAGGCATGTAGCATCATTGAGCTTTTGCATTGTCTTGCTGCTCACCAAAGCAAGCTGAGTGACCACTGAAGAGGCCGGAAATAAAGCAATGAAACAGCACAGGAACAATAGAAGGGATGTCTATGACGAATGACGAAATGAATGCTACACAGAGTAATAAAAGTCTTGCACTTTGGAACTTGAGTAGGAGCATATTTCTACGACTTTTTTATTGTTATTTTTATTGCCTCACCCTATTTTTCTACTTTGTATCATTTATTACAGCACTTAGATTGTTTTACTTCAGCAATTTTTTTCATAAGGAACATCATCGATCTACTCAAATATATGTGCTTTAACTACTGATGTTTTACTACGGGTAAGTTAGAGTATATAATTCCAAATACACTCTGCATTCACGTGGCCTGGCATTTTATCTAATACAACGTAGCTGAAGTTGTCCAGCGTATCTTTGCAGAACACATATATTTTTGTCACTTAGGCTATGCTGATGAAAAACTCCTGTGTATTCATACAACTATGTATATTGATTACAAGTGACATACAAGTTAATAAATTAAAAATTGAACTGATTACTTCAACAGAATGCCTTCGTCTTGAAAACGTACATCAGACTAGTTTCAAGCACACAAAGTATTCTTTCATCTCTTATAGAGGGGACTGAATGATGAAAGTCATCTATTTCTTTCCAGTCGATTTATTTAGGAAGGCTATAGATGTTTTAATCCTGGCTCGCTATCTTCCGACAGCTTTCTGCACCTTAGGTGGTTTTCTACTGCCTTCGAAATACAAGGCATCTCACCATATTTTGCACTGAGTCTTTGATTGGGCCACTTTTCACCTAGCTACAATTCAATGTGATGATGTCATCGCGGAACTCGACGTTACGTGAAGTCACCGTCTTTGGCAATATGTGCGGTCGTGATGGCGTCCTAAGGGCAGTAATCACGTGACGATGATTTTTTGCGGCACTTGTGTCCTCCCCAACGCTGCATGACGCCAACGTCAAAGTTCAATTTTTTTGATGAGGCATTTAACATTTCCGCCTCAAAAGTTACATCAAAGAGAGCAGTTATGTAGTATAAAATTCTGTGACAGTACCACACGTCGCTGACCATATATACACGAACGCTTGCATCGATGTTCATGTTAGTGTAAGTTATTCATACTGAAGCTTCTAGCGGAGTATTTCACGTGAAGAGTCGGCGAAGTTTATGATAACCATGGCAACGACCAGTAATAAACGGTAATCGTTGAGGAAGCGTGATAGTCTTTGTAATATACGTAACCCAAAATATAGCCAGCTGCAACTGTCGCTTGAGCTTCGATGCTGTTTCTAGCATTTCACATGGACGCTTTCAACGAGAGCTGTTGTATATACACCCTACTCTGATATCGACACACATACACATAATCATACGGGTTGGAATATACTTGTTTGCTATGATATTGTGTGGTATTAACAATAGCTACACAAGTACTGCTGCTTTGACCACTCACTCATATTCTACGATACCCCCAATGAGCATGGCTATAGTGAGAGATCACAAAAATAGAAGCATTAAGTTAGTACTGATAATAGTACATTCTCTAAGTTATTAAAAATAAAGCCTGTAAACTAATAAAACAACTAGTTTTCAATTTGGAGTTTTCTCCCTCGCAAGCCCTCATATTTGCCACTGAGTGAAATACAAGTAAAGAGAAACTTTCAAGCAATAGTTGGCCACTCACAAGCTTCGGTTTGCGAATTTCTTAGTTCACGAAAATATATCAAGTACTTTAGACTGACAAAATGCCAAGTCATGAGAAATCATAGTAAAAATTACAAAACACAGCATAGTGCTAAGCTGAAATTTTAATAGTCATCATGCACATGCAGCATCCTCAAGTGCACACATGTGCTCACAGATTTGTAGTGAGTTATGTGCAAAAAGAATTATAATGGTGGAGTGGCTGGGTCCCACTTCGCAAAAACTGTGATTTAGGGTGGTCGCTATATGTGAAAATTCAAAACCTAAAACATTTTTGTTCTTCCATTAACTTGAAGTTGCACGCAAAATTCGCGATAGGCACTATCAAAATCATCATGGAATGTTCTTTTGTTCGGTATAAATCGGCAAATGATTTCTTTCTGAAGTGCACACATGCTTATTTTTCTCGCACTTAGGCTATTTGATGTTTGAAAGAGAAGAGAATGAAAAGACGATAGCACAAAAACGTGCCAACTTACGGCATCGTAATCATCACTCTAAGAATCTTCCTCAATTTTTGCCTGCCTGAAAACTTGCTAGTAAACAATGCATTATTTGTTCCACTTTTCAGAGCTTCCTTCCGTTAGCCGACATGCATGTGTTCCACTTTTAATGTTTCTGTTTATTTCGTACTAATAGCCATCGAAAAAAACAGGTTATGAAGACACGGAAAAAGCACAAACTTATGTAGCTGAAAGTGTTAGCTGCCGTGTATGCAGCTCCTTATCACCTTTCTGTTTTAATACAAGTGCTGTTAGTGCACACAAAAATAAACCATCAATTTACACGCTTATATTGGTAGAATCAAGAAGTCACGTGCACGCTTTTGAGAATTACTTACATGGTGTATTTTTCCGGCACTAACTGACTATTTCAAACTCTAGAATCTTCTCATCCTCTCAGATTATGCACGCACATCTACTGCATCACCTATGAAAACTTTTTTGATCGTTCCGTTTTTTGTTCGCGCAAGGACGTGAATCATCTCGCTATTGTTGCAAAATATTTCCACAATCCACCACTAAAATACGACCTTCTTTCTAAAAATTGCTACTTATTCAATACATATGAGCATTCACAAAAAGTACACAGTACTTTTTTTCATGCATCAAATTCGTCAACGATTCATTTCTTCTTATCTAGCTCGAACTAAAAGAGCTACATACCGTCCTCTATTTGCCAACTGACCACTGTGACTAAGTTTAGGCTGCTGTGGAATGCGATGTGTACTCTAAGGAACCTTTATTTTTCGCTCTTAATTTGTTATTTTTTTTACTTTGAATACTATCGCCTACTTTAAAATAAACAAATAATATAGATGCCAATGTCGTAATCTCGTTAAGAAACGTAGGACAATATATGTAATTACAACAGCAATTGATATTTACTAAGCAGACTTTTCTTAAGAAATTCAATTAAAAAATGAGAAACGAAAGACAACCAGGAGCAACTAAGTAAAATTTTCAAAACATGATCAATTTGTTTTTCAAAGCAACTAATATACCACAGAAGTGGAATGCGCGCTCGCAGTTCCAACATCTTGACTCTTTGCTGTACTTTCGTATTTGGCAGCTTAGAGAATGTACAACGTTGTTAGTCCGCTATATTACCGATTCACGTGCGGCCATTCATGTTGACGCCTGGTAGCTGATTCCGAACCACACTACTAACGTCTATGATTAAGATACAACTGTTGTGGTAGCCGAAATAGACAATTTTGAAGCCGTAATAGTAAACATACGCCTGCGCTGAGCGTGTGGTAAATACCGTGCAAAGCGGACATCGATAAAAACACAATAAACAGCGCTACTGGATATGTACTTTTTTAAAGCGGCATTATTTGAACAAATAAACAGACCCTGCATTCCCCCGTAATGTGGTAACATGCAACTACCTGTCTATGTGCATATGCCACACAATGTTTCAGTAATGCGAGAAGCAGGTTCCTAGCTGGAGCCCGTGCTCATGCAGCGTGGGCAGAAACTAAGTGACAGAAAACCCACAACGACGAGCCTTGAGTGTCAGCTAGTTTTTACTTGAAGAAAAAAAAGAGAATTCCACACATTACGCGTACCTAGCGAATCGATGATATATGCGAAGCATGCGGAGGAAACGTGACTTTGTTCTATTTTTTTATTGAGCGATGGATGCATGGATGCAAAACTTTTATTGGGGTCCTTAAAGATTCCACCCCCGTTTTATATGGGTAGGATCGCGGGCCGCTCCCACGTTGGGACGGGGAGGCCCAGCCTCACCGCCGCATCGTGGGTCTTCTGGACAGCCTTGAGTCGTTGTATGAGAACTGGACTCGTGAGCACAAAATGAAAGGAGTTTTCAGAAAATTCTGCATTTTTTTGTAAACAGGGCGAAATATGATGAAATGACGCTAAAGGTAAGTAAAAATGTTGTACGCTCATACACATGCTAAACAGTCGCATCTTTCCAGTTGTGTGACGATGCCACCAGCAACAGAAGAATGAGCAACACCAGAAGCGGCAAGCTGATATGTAGCGCTTGTGTTAGCGTGGATGGCGGCCTAGGACGCTTCTGTATAAATGAGCTTCATTGAATAGCACCTCCCTACCATTATCGTTAACCAGACGTGACGGCTTCATGATAGAAGTACGCATGTACTGCTTATAAGCTTGGATAGTCACCACTTGAACCACATTTTTCCTTTCACGAACATTAAGGATTATTTGAAAGGCCGTTTTGGGACGTGGCATGAGTTTGTGGTAGAAAACTTGACTGCCGCGCAGAACAATGGTGTTCGATTTCTGTTGGGACCATAATATTTACCCAATCCATTAGTTGGGCCAACGCTGCTGATACTA